AAATGCGACAGAAAACAGTTTAACCCAGTTTAATAGAATGCATGGTATTTTCTGTTTAATTGAAATGCTGGCTGTTTGTTCTAGCTGACTTTAATGTATAGCAGTTGTGGTCAGACAGGTAGGCTGGGCGAGACAAGCGAATGTTAACTGTAACTCTAAGAGTCCTCATCCTCTGCTAAATGCTTTCGAGACTCTTCGGCAGTGGAATCCAGTTGTAGGCCTGGCTATCTTCAGAGTGAGTGAGTGAGGAGGATGGGGTTTTGATCTTGTTTGAGTATTTGGGGACTAGGATGAAGACGACGTCTCTGGTCTTGATGATTAGGTTTGAGATGGGAATTTATCAGACTTTGAAGGGATTAGTCTAGAAAAATCCAGAGGCAAGCCTTTGCATTCATCTCTGTAAGAGTTGATGTGGTCCAGAGCTGAAGATGGTATTGTGGAATTCCATACATGACATAGTTTGGAAAAAGCATATACACAGCAGTATATAAGCTGGCTGACTGGCTGTGGAGCTAGAATGTGAGAGACCCGAGGGTGGCGGCTGGGTGTTTTCAGTTGACTGAAGAAACGATGCCTTTATTAACAGGTATGTGATTCCCAGAGCATGTATGAGAGTGGAACCATGCAATTGCTCGATACTGTGGGGTGAGAACTAGAACTGGGTGGGGTGCTAAGGGAGACATTTGAAAATTAAAGTCTATGAATCAAAAGAAGTTAGAGCTGACAGGACAGGTTTCAGTTACTACCTCACACTCGGGAGGCCAGGTCCTGGGACTGAAAGTAACTCAGGGCAGCGAAGGGAGAGCAGAGGGGAGAGCCGAAGATGGAGCCTTAACGATAGCGACTAAAGGGAGGCTGTAAACAGAGTGAACAGAATGAACACTGGCCAAGGCAGCTGTGATGGAGGGAAGGGAGCATCTGTGAGGTAAAGTTGCTAGAACCCAGGATCAGCCTTCCGGAGTTGATGCTGCAGGCCGGAGCCCGAGAGGCCAGCAGCTGATTTTGTAGCCACTGAAAAGGTGCACACACATCTTTTCCAGGCAGTTTTGAGTACTAGCAAGTCATCGAGTTATGTGTATGAAAGGATGATTGAATTATGTCTAGTGAGTTTACATAGCAAACTTGCATTATCTTGCAAGATTGTGTATTTCATATGTGCTAAGAACACTTTATTGACCTTTCCTGGAAATGAAAGAGTCCAAAATAATAACACTTAACTGGTAAAACAAGTTTTTAAAATTTGTAATTGTAATGAGTTTAATTTAAGCCAAGTTAAAAAATTAGTAATAATGTAAAAGTGCTGAAAGCCATTTAGGAAATTTCATAATTAAAGCCTCTGTAAATTGTGGCAGATCTGTTCTCAGTTTCTGTTCTTTCATACCTCTGTGTGTGTTAATGGCGGTAAGAGAAGGGGTGTTGGGTTTTGGTGATTTTTGTAGAAGAAACTGTATCGCTTATAATGAGATATTCTGTATACAGATTTATTTATATATTTTTTTAGATTCTTCTACTTTTTCTAACTTGAATAATCATTTTATTTATCTCTTTAATGGAAATCATTGACATTTTTGAAAAATACTATAAATGAATGTATTTCTGAATATGTAATATGGGACGCTGCAAAGTTGAGGATATATTCTGAATTTCTCTAACTTTTTAATTGTAAGCCATTTTACAGGAATTCATTTGTACTTGGTATTTTTTGATGAAGGTGAGCTTTTTAGGTGTTGGAAGCTGCTGTTTTCAGGGAGATAGCTATCCATTCCACCATAGTTTGTGTTTTGCGCTAGCTTCAGCGCTATTTACGTGGTGGTTCAGAGTAGTCTAGTTGTTTTTTTTTTCTTTTCTTTTTTTTCTGGTTTTTCGAGACAGGGTTTCTCTGTGTAGCTTTGCGCCTTTCCTGGAGCTCACTCTGTAGCCCAGGCTGGCCTCGAACGCACAGAGATCCGCCTGGCTCTGCCTCCCGAGTGCTGGGATTAAAGGCGTGTGCCACCACCGCCTGGCTAGTTGTTTCTAAAGTGTTTCCCAGACTGTTTCGCCGCTTATCCGCTTAGCCCTTGTTAGTAAGCCCAGCTCCTCTACCAGCTACTACAGCTCGTGTGTCAAAATACTACAGCAGTGCCTTCTAGGTAAATGCTGACCCTAACGTAGAGAGAGTGTTTTCACACGGAGAAATTTGAGATAAAGACATTTCTGCTCCGTTGCTAATCTTCAGCTTCATTTCCTGCGGCTTGCTGAGAACCAGGAAGTAAGAACAAAAGTCTCAGCCTGTTTATGTCTCTTGTTCCAGGGTGTATGTTCATCAAGTCCAACCAAAAGAGGGAGCAGAAGATACAATATTTGGGCAGGTTATTAAAGTCTGGGGGCCAACTTCCCTTAAGTTTTGTTTCTGGCAAGTGAGAAATGATAAATTTGATGACATAATTCTGAAAGATTTATTGTACATTCAGAATAGTTGTCGTCATCCTGGGCTATTTATAGTTTCCATTTAATGCATTTGATTGAACTCAACTAATATTTAAGTAAACAGTAGCTGGGTACTCAAATACTTGGGCACATTACGTTTTTAAAATCGTAGTTTCTAGCTTTGTGAAGTGTTCACTCCTTAGGTGAAATCATGTGTGGCATTACTGTAACAAAATAATATATTTCCTCCACTTCTTGGCCTCTCCTCAGTCCTGACCAGGTCTCAGAGATTGCCTGGGAGGCAAGCTGTACTCAGGTTTTCATCTGCTTATGCACTCTTGGTTCTTTTCTGAGACGGGCATCCCCAGCACCCACCTACCCCCAGGCCAAAACATGACTGACTGACTGACTGAATGAATGAATGAATGAATGAATTCACTCAACAAATAACTTTTCCAGTAACCATATGCTGAGAGTACACTGGTGAGCAGGAGAATATCACTGCTCTTGTGTTAATTATAGTCTAGGAAAGGGACAGGAACAGGGTGTTGTTTTTTAATACACTCATAGTAATTTTAAGTGTAGCAAATTCAATGGAGGCAACTAACAGACTTTGGAATAGAGTGTTTTGCCCCATCCCCCAAAAGTAATTGGTTTTGCATCTTTTTGTTTTGTGAGCGATAAGTATGCCAGGGCCTTGGCTGTGTTAGTGGTTAAGCTGTCTTTGTACTTCAAGGCTGAGAAGAGCCAGGGTTGGGCTTCAGGAGGGAGAGCATTCTAGAAAGTGCAAGGAAAAGAGTGTGGAGAGAGTTACTAGGGTGCTCATAGCCGATCGCCGATGTGTTAAAGTGATTGGGTGTCTGTGTGCGGAGTAGACTGTAGGCCCAGGAGCTGAGGAGAGGCGTGTGCACTTGTCTATATTGTGGTAGTGATGAGCGTAAGGATGTGCATTGATGGCGTCTATGATTTAGCAGTTGGCTATGGGGATAAGGAGAGGTGGTCTCAAGTGTGACTCTAGCCTTCACTTAAGCTGTAGATGGGGAGTCCTTAGAGTGGAAAATGAAGGGCTTGGTATTGAACATTAAAAGATAGATAGATGCCTGTTAGCCATCTAAAGAAAGGCATTGGCCAGACTCATAGACCAATTTATGCTGAGTCCAAACTTTAGAGCTTGGGATAGCAGTTGGGAATCCTTAGCATCAATATACAGATTTCTTTTAAAGTCACGGAGCAGGGTAGCATGGAGAAGAAAGGCTGTTTTGGTTATACTCCTTAGGAGGTGGTTGATAGGAAGTTTTAGGTCTGAGTAATGAAGGACAGTAATCTAAAGGTGAGTGCTGTGCTTGTCCTTAATCAGAAACAAACTTGGTCTGTGTTCATTTGGTTAAGGTCAAGTGAAGGGTTTTCTGCTTTCCACTGTGGTCACTGCCGATTTGGCCGGAATTCAGTGATTCTAATGGACAGCAAGCAATTCAACTTATACGACTGTCTGGTGTAATCTGGCATCCATTTATTAATTTTCACAATAACCAGATGTTTTCCTTCACTCTCTCTTTTGGGACCCATACAGTTCTCTTTAAATGGTAGAAGTGGAAAAAAGTACGTTAAGGAACTCTTAACCCAGTATTTGTAAAGAGAAGACCTGGAAGGCAGGCATCAAAATATTAGCAGTAATCATTCCTAAGAAATAAGATATTTGGTTTTATTTTATTTAAAAAATGCCATCCACATTAGTGTTATATTTGTAATCTTTCAAAAAAGCAAAATACAGTTGTCAAAAATAAATAAGTATTCTTTTCAAAAAAGTAAGACGTAAGCCAGGCATCTAAAGATCACATACTGCTGATACAGATACTTGGTAGGCTGAGGAAAGAGTGTAAATTTGAGGCCAACCTCTGCTACACGCAGAGACCCTGACTCAGCCATTCCCCAAAGTAAAATAAATACCAAATTATTTTTTTAGAAGTTAGTTTTAATCTGCAATTTAGTAAGTAATGATAATAATATATTTATGATTTTATATTGGACACATATTTTACATCTTACTTTTTAGGTTATCCAATCTTTCAAGTAGAGTATTAATGGTAAGATAAATATAAAATATTACTCGAATCACCTAGAAAGAATAGTGCTTGAAGATTATAGTTCTATATATTTGAAAGTTACCCTTTCTCAGAGACCTCCCCAGCCCTTTGTTTAGATGACACAGGGCAAATTCCAAATAGGGTCCAAATGTGAACACAGGATCAGCAAACCCAAGTGGACCAAAGGTCAGCTAACTGCCTATAATAGTGATAGTTTGTCTTTGGTCTTCAGATAGCCACGTGTAATCTGGTAAAGGCATTAAAAAGTTACATAGACTGTGCCTCTTGGAAACTGTTGACTGCATGCTTCACAAAACCTAATGCTGTATTTGATACTAAAATCAGATTATGATTTTCTGAAATCTGGCCTTTAGTTGAATTTGAACTGGTAGGTTTCATAGGCAGTTATTAAAATGTGCCTTTAAAATTTTTATTTTACATAGAGCTTTTAAATGACATTGTATTATATATAATATTTGATGTAAAATGGCATTTCTTTTGTTCTGATAGCTTGCACTGAAAGGCTCCAGCTACAGTGGACTACTTGAACGACATCATATTCACACCAAAAATGTAGAACATATAGTTGATAGTTTACGGTAAGTCTGTGGGATGGTGTCTTAGGTGGTGTTTTGTAGTCAGGATTCTGATCGTATTTTGTACTAGCAGCTAATTCTTAGAATTTTAGTAAAGTCTGTCACATTTCCAGAAAATTATATTGAGGTTCAAAGACCCAACTTCATCATTTTCTAAGGAAATTTTTATTTTCCTCTTAAAATTCAGATTATTTTCAGTAAGTCCGTCTACTAGAGAAGTTCCATTTCACAGTTAGATTAAGTTCACAGCAGACTTCCTCTCTGTGTGTAAAGTTTTATTTCTTGGAACAGAGTAATAGATATGAGTGTTCATTAAAGCATTCCTTGTGTCTAAAAATGACCACTGGAGAATCTTCAGTTTGCAGCTGAGTAAGTTTAAGTGACTATAAACGAGGAATCTAAGAACATGCTAATCACCAAGTACTTTCAGTCCCTGCCACTCCATATTGGTTGAATTTCAGGCAATAGCTGTTTGGTTTTATAATGAATGTATAAGTTTTATGTAATGAATATAAAACATTTTTACATTAAATTTCAGCATCAGAAACAGGAAAGTAAAGTTCTGATCAATCAGTATTACTGTTAGTGATTTTAAAATGTGTTTTAAGGCACATGGAGATCTGGTTGTCAACTTTCATGCATTTGCTTCCTGCCCTGGCATAGTTAATTGGCTGTATCGGCTAACTTTACAAGCTACACCTAAATTGGTTTCTACATCAAAGATTTTACTTTTTTTTTTTTTGGTAAAAATCTGCCTCTTAGAAAATGTCCGTGTCTTAGATATGTCACCAGTGGAAAACGTATGCAACTTCTTCTTATCCTAGGGATGAAGGGATTGAGGTTCGTCTAGTCAAGCGGAGGGAGTACAATGAAGAAGCTGTTGGATGGGCAGATGCTGTCATAGCGGCAGGAGGTAACTGCTCCCCAGAGACCAGGTGCTGGGATGTGGGATCTCGTCCGTGAGCGTCATCTCCAGATACCTGGAGTTAGCACTTTTGAATCCTTCCAAGTCCTGCCAGATGGGGTTTTTGTTTGTTTTGTTTTTTGTTGTTGCATGTTTTTCTTTATTATTAGTTAATTTATAATTCTTGATGTTGTGAGGTTCTCTGTGTGTTCTTTAGTGTAGATTTACAGGTCTTACCTTCAGATTCAAAAGATGATTTGTTAAGTGTATTTTGGTTTAATTATGACAATCTTAATAAAGAGCCAATTGTGATAATTTATTGAGGTTTTCATTATTTGGCCCCAGTACAGCAACATGTACTTTTTCTTGATTTTTGTTATTAGTGGCCACTTTATCGAGCTTTAAATCAAAAGTAGTTGTTGGAGAGACTATATTAAAGTTGGATATGTTTTCACTAAAATGTCATAAATCGCTGGACCTGTTTTATAGGTCAGGGAAGATGATGTTTGGGATTAGAGCAATGATGTCTAGTTGGGTCATATTATTGTCATTTAATGTGTTGTTGAGGGGAGAAATTCTGCCAGGCACCTTAATGTGCAGGACAGCCCTCTAATGGGAACACTTTTTTTTGGCTAGTCTTGGCACTGTTGAAATCCTGTTTCAGTGCAACAGGCACAACACAGTAAGTACAGCAGGCCCAACCCAGTACAGCAGGCCCAGCCCAGTACAGCAGGCCCAGCCCAGTACAGCAGGCCCAGCACAGCCCAGTACAGCAGGCCCAGCACAGTGCAGCAGGCCCAGCACAGCACAGTACAGCAGGCCCAGCACAGTACAGCAGGCCCAGCACAGTGCAGCAGGCCCAGCACAGTGCAGCAGGCCCAGCACAGCACAGTGCAGCAGACCCAGCACAGTACAGCAGGCCCAGCACAGCACAGTGCAGCAGGCCCAGCCTAGTACAGCAGGCCCAGCACAGTACAGCAGGCCCAGCACAGTGCAGCAGGCCCAGCACAGTGCAGCAGGCCCAGCACAGTGCAGCAGGCCCAGCACAGTGCAGCAGGCCCAGCACAGTGCAGCAGGCCCAGCACAGTGCAGCAGGCCCAGCACAGCACAGTACAGCAGGCCCAGCCTAGTACAGCAGGCCCAGCCCAGCCCAGTACAGCAGGTCCAGCCCAGTACAGCAGGCCCAGCACAGCCTAGTACAGCAGGCCCAGCCCAGCCCAGTACAGCAGGCCCAGCACAGAACAACAGTCCCAGCCCAGAGCAGCAGGCCCAGCCCAGTACAGCAGGCCCAGCACAGCCCAGTACAGCAGGCCCAGCCCAGTACAGCAGGCCCAGCCCAGCCTAGTACAGCAGGCCCAGCACAGCCCAGCACAGCCCAGTACAGCAAGCCCAGCCCAGCACAATACAGCAGGCCCAGCACAGCCCAGTACAGCAGGTCCAGCCGAGTACAGCAGGCCCAGCCCAGCCTAGTACAGCAGGCCCAGCCCAACCCAGTGCAGCAGGCCCAGCCCAGTACAGCAGGCCCAGCACAGTGCAGCAGGCCCAGCACAGCCCAGTACAGCAGGCCCAGCCCAGTACAGCAGGCCCAGCACAGAACAACAGTCCCAGCCCAGTGCAGCGGGCCCAGCCCAGTACAGCAGGCCCAGCACAGCCCAGTACAGCAGGCCCAGCCCAGGACAGCAGGCCCAGCCCAGTACAGCAGGCCCAGCACAGAACAACAGTCCCAGCCCAGTGCAGCGGGCCCAGCCCAGTACAGCAGGCCCAGCACAGCCCAGTACAGCAGGCCCAGCCCAGGACAGCAGGCCTAGCACAGCCCAGTACAGCAGACCCAGCCCAGTACAGCAAGCCCAGCCCTGTACAGCAGGCCTAGCACAGCCCAGGACAGCAGGCCCAGCCCAGGACAGCAGGCCCGGCTCAGCGTAGGTGTGGCAGAGTACAGCAGCTCAGGACAGTCCAAAGATGGAGTAGGTGGAGGGGAAGGGAAGCTGTGTCAGTCAGCTAGGAGGGTGTGGTTGTTAAAACTACTGTTTTCAAAATGATGTTAAAACTGCTTTACAAGACAAGTCTGGTTGTCTCACCCTCTGTCAGGTGATGGCACGATGCTTCTGGCAGCGAGTAAAGTTTTGGACAGACTTAAACCTGTCATTGGGGTCAACACTGATCCGGAACGGTAAGCGAGAACATGTTTATTCTGTGTCTGGTTTGTGGAACTGATTTTTTTAAATATCCTACATGCAGCTATTTCTGCCTTGTTTTGTGTGTTGCCTGTTTTTGATGAATCTTAAACTTTGGAATCTATTCTTTATTGTCTCTGTGTAGTCATGATGTGGGGCTCTGTTGCTTCAGGGATTTTGCCATAGTACATGATGTTAGAGTTATCTTTGTTCCTGGTACCATGAGCATCAGAACATGTTCCAAAACCAATTTAGTGATGAAATGGGCGGTCGATCGAGTGATTGATTGCCGAGACCCTTGGATAACTGATTCCTGTCTACCCTTCCTATAGTTGTCATTTACGTGTGTGGTCAGTCAGGGCTGGGTGGAGGTTCTGCATTGGTTTCATTTGTCTGAAAGCTTTTGTTTTTCTTTCCCAACTTTACAGATGCCTACTCTCTTTTTTACTCCAGCCACTTAGAGCCATGACCATTACTGGACTTTATAAAATTCGTCTGGATTTTTCCCACCTCCACAGTCTCATTTCTAGGAACACACTCTCGTACCTTAATACCAGTCTTATCCCCTTGCAGATCTGCCCTTTAGTATTTGGTGTTCAGGTCCCCTCTATTTTTCTTCATTTCATTTATTTCTTTGATGGCTGCATAAATATTTTTAAATAATTACCTTTCTGCTCAATTCTAGATCCACCTGTCTGTCATCCTATTTATTCCTATATTAGGCTTGAAAAAAATCACCTAGAAAAGAAAATCTTAGAAACTTGGGCTTGCTGACACTTCCAGCGTAGAGTCTTGGCCGCTCACGGAGATCTTTCCACTGAGCCTTCCCATCTCACCCCACTCCCCGTCCCTCCACTCAGGAGGGCCTGCTCACTTTTGTATACTCCTGCATCCTATTCTCGCTCGAGTGGGCCCTCCCATGTTCACAGAGGAGATGAAGGGAGGAGATCTCCTTCTGTCACGGGTTCCGTTCCCTCTGACCCCTCTCAGCCTGCAGTCTCCCCCAGCCAGGCCTAGGCCTTTCCTGCCGCTCTGCATCTTGGTTACTGCCCTTTCGGTTCTCTTGAGCCCCCAGACATAGCCTGTATCCTCACTCCCCAGCTCTGAACTTTCGAGCCTTTTCTGGATCTGTCCTCAACAGGTTCACTGATACACTGTTTAAGAGACATCCTGAACCCAGCAGACACTGTAATTTCTGTCTTTCTGGGTTTGGGGGTTTTAAGCATATCATTTATAAGATTCTTGTCTTTCTACCTCTGTGATTTCTATTTCTTTAAAGGGACTTATTTTTGGTCACTGTTCTATAATGCTGTTTTCATAGATTGTATTCTGGGTCCTTTTGTCTTTCATTGTCTAGAACATCCCCTGCTTCCGTCCTTATCCTTAACACGTCCACTGCAGTCAGTGATGCTTCATACGGTCTCAAAGCCTTACAGTGCCGCCCCACGCCACCGAGTAAGTCTAGTTCTTAACTGTGATAAGCCCAGCCAACTCACGCTACCTTTCCTTGAATTTTTTTTTTAAAGTTTTAACACTTAGATCCTTTATCTTAGGAAATGGTCCACAGATGGTCACCTTCATGAACCACAAGACTTCATTATTTGCTGGTTCCTGTTTTCTTTTCTAATTTCCTGATATTTTCATTCCTTGTTTTTCATGCTGTTCTAGCAAATTGGCTTTTTGTCAGATGTATTAAAAAAGCAGCTTGTCTACAGGTGGTCATTGCTTTTCTCTTCTGCGTCATTTTTGGTTAATGGAACCATTATCTGTGATGCAGTTGTGACTACTTTCTTATTTTCTCATCAAACTGTGAGTAAATTCTTGGAATTCTGCCTTTGATTCTTCCTCTCAAAAAATTTTTTAAAATCCTTTGACAGTTTTAATACTGTGAATTTTTTTCATATTCTCCTCAGCTCCTTCCAGATCCACCTTCACCTCCCTCACCCCTTCAACAATCTGACCTTTTTTTTTTTTTTTTAACCCGTTGACTTCAGTATGTGCTGCCCATATAGTTCTGGGTATGGGGCTATCCACTGGAGTGTGGCTGACCCACCAGGAGCCACACACTAATAGACAACCGACTCAGCTTTTCCTAGAAGCTGTCAGCTCTCCATAGCTCTTGGGTTAGACCTAGGGCTCATGGACCCCTCTCACTCCATGCCAGATAGACTGACTCGATCATGCACAGGCTTTGTCCAGAACCTGCCATGTCTAGAAGACACAGTTGAGTCCATCTCTTACGATTTTCACTGCCGCTAAACATAGCTCAGGCCTTCTTCATAGGCTGTTGTGGAAAATACTTTAGTAACCACGAGTTCAAACATAGAAGCCCATGGGGGACATTCACACATCACTCCTGGTCCTTTTCTAAAGTGCACGTCTGATTATAGTTGCTCCTTAATTAAAATCTTTTTCAGTTCCCCTGTGATCTCCAGGGTGCTTTGCAAAGCCCTTAGCTAAGATACACATTCTTTTGCCATCTGCTGCTTCTCTGCGCTTCTGGTTTCATCTGTAACGTAGTCACAGGCACTGTGTAGTCTGCAGTTGAAAAAAGTGCATGTGTGGATTTAAACTTCCCGGAGCAGCCCAGAATCTTCCGAAGAGGCTCAGAGTGAACGCTAACCATGTGAGCATCTGTTCACACCTTGGTTGGAAACTGACCCAGGCGAGCGTTGGCTCTGGCCAGAGCCTTTGTTGACATAGGAGATAGTAGATGGTTGGAAGGAGTGAGGGAGCTCTCCAGAAGGCCTGTGCTATTTTCATGCTTTTTGTATTCTGCTGCCAAGAGTGCGCTTGTGCTCGGGCCAAGCTTACCCGTGGCTGTTCCCTCAAGATGGAGTGTCAGAATATACTACTGTAGTTCGTAGTCAAGCCTCAGTGGCCTCAGCTGGTCTCCCAACTCCCTGCACAGACTGCATGTAACTAACCTCTTCCTGTCTTTTCTGCCTGACTCAGCTGTTACACAGTTAATTCTTTTCAGTATAGGACCTCGAGTTTCAGTTTCTCTAACATTAACATAGTTTATACACAGGATTCAGGAAACATGTGAAGAATGAATGTAATTAAATGATCTTAGGGAGCAGGCCTAGGCCTTCAACCTACCTGAATTAATGTTCTCTGAGATTAAGAAAGTAAGATCATTAGTTTAGTAATTAACCTTTGATTCTCTTCAGTGTTGATGCATGTAGGTTTTAGCAGTTCTTAATAGCCTGTTTTTATATCATTGCCATAAGAGATTGTTAACTTGAACGATTTTATGGTTGAATTGTATTTTCTTTGAAAAGCTGGCTTTAAGTCATAAGCCTGTCACATTTGGAGGCCTTAGATTTGCCTATGGAGGCAAGGAGACAAAACAAAGAACTCTTAAAAATCTATTCTTCTAAATAGAAAATAGAGAAAAGGGAAAGCTGTATTTATTAATACCTTGTCATGAAGTCAAAGGTCATCTGGGGCTGCAGGCATTTGAGGGTTTCCTTTGGTCCGAAACATTAGCTTTAAGATGGCTAGCTCACATGGACTCAATCTGAATTAAAAATATTATTTAGTTGGTCTCTTCTGTCTTCCACACTCACTCTACTGAGCCTGGTAAATAATTAGCTTTGAATGTCATAGTAGTCAGCCTTCATTAGTATCCTAATATTTCCACTCTGTGTGGCTTCCATCTTGCTCTCCTTTTTCAGTCAGGGCTGGCCAGTGAGGCCAGTGAACTGGTGTGACACTGAAAATTCTAAGCCATGTTCTAAATGATGTATTGCAGCTTCTGTGTTGGATTGCTTATTAACTGGTCAGTTACCACGATACTGACATCAGTGTAGTTACCCCTATGAAGGAAGGCTCACATCAGAGGAACTGAGACCTCCTGCTTGTAGCTGGCACTAGCTTGCCTGCCTGAAGCAACCTTAATATATCAAGTAGCCTAAGTCAGGCCTTCAGATACCTGGAGCCCAAGCTGGTGTCTGAGTATATGACCTCATGAGAGAGTGTAACCTTCTGTGGACAGTAGTTTAGACTTGCACTTCATCTAAGGAGATGTTTTCCATCAAATGACTGTGTTACCTTTTATATAGTAAACATTGTGTAAAGTATTAGTGGATACACAAATTTTAGAAGCCTAGAGGATAGATGTAGTTCAAGTGGTCCAGGCTTACAGTCTCAGCACCCAGACCTGTAAGCAGTCTGTGATAACAAACAATAACAAAAAATTTAAAAAATGAGGGTCTATCTGTTATTGACCTCTGTAGATGGAGACGTTGCTTAATTGTACTTTGCAAAAACTTCTTTTTCTACTCATTAATTTACATTTTATAATATATTAGTTTCTTATCAAGACTTCTTTTTGGTGAGGTCTGCTCAGCCTTTGCGTCAAGACTAGAGCACCACAGGAATGAGGATAATGAAAATGTCTGGCTATCATTAGGAGTCATATCTTGTCAGTGTCCTGTGGCTGCTTAAAAGGAATCTTCCTCTTGGTAATTTTCAGTTGTTTGTTTGTTTTATAGATTTTATTTTTAATTATGTGTATGTGTCTGTGTGGGATATAGTCATGTGAGTTTACGACCATCAGAATCAGGAAAAGAAGGTGTCTGTTAGGTGCCCCGGAACTAGAATACAGATGGTTGTGAGCCATCTGGCATGGGTGCTGGGAGCTGAACTCTGGTCCTCTGGAAGAGCAGTACATATTCTTAACCACAGAGCCATCTCCCCAGCTTTGCAAGTCCTCATTTTAAGTTGTCTTCCGCGTCAATCTGTGAATTCCTTGAAGTTCAGCTTTAATATATTTTGAGTGAGTGAAAGGTTATTTTGGGATAAGCTTTCTCAGTTCTTTTGCTTAAGGATAACTTAAGTGATTCAAAATGCTTTCACATCTTGATTTCACAGTTTGATTCTTTAGAATGACCTTGTGTGGTTGGTGCTCATGACAGTTTTAGAAATAACCCTAAAGTTAATGGTTAAGTAATTTAGAGGTATGGGGAAGGATCCCACTCTACCACTGGGTAAATTGGCAGGGTGATTGGTAGAAGAATTTTGCTATTATTGGTTTCATCATAGTGTGGAAACATAGGTGTAATTCTGTTTTGTTAAAGCTGGTTGTAGACTATCATTTGTTAGGTCTTGTTGTTATTGAAAGTACAGACAGTTTGTGGCAGAAATGAAGTATAGGGTTGAAATTTAGAAAAATTGGTCTCTAATTTTTATAGTTTAGTGATGCTCTGAATTTTTTCTCCTTTCCCCATTTTCCTCCACCCTTTATTCCACCCGAACATCCCTTGACATCGCAGGTCTGAAGGTCATTTATGTCTGCCTGTTCGATACACACATTCCTTCCCTGAAGCCTTACAGAAGTTCTCTCGTGGTGAGTTCAGGTAGGAAGTTCTTATTCTTCGGATTTGATTCTGTAATAAATCTGTGCTGCTGATGCTCTCAAAAAGAGGACAAGCAGATAAACTGGGGTACTTCGTTGTTTCAAAAGTAGCGGTAAGAAATTCAAGGAGTCAGTTGTAGATCTCTCCTACCTTCTCCTAGTCCAGTTAGAACATAGAGAAAACGTGACAAGTGTTACTCGGCCTAGAATTGCAAATGAAGATTTTACTCCTTCAGCCAGAGTGAAGTTACTCTACTTTATTTAAAGTCTTATCACTAATACATGTTCTTGGCATTTGGTAGAAAGATAGTTCAAGCTGTTCGGTAAAATTGAAGAATCAGTTTTATATTTGTTCTTTTAACTCATAATGAATGGATGCTTATATGTTTAATCCAACCAAGATGTACTTCTTAGTATCTTTGTCTTATCTATGAAGTGCTTTTTAAGCAGTGGGATGAGATTTTTAAAAACGTATTTCTCAGAGCTGGAGAGATGGATCAGTGGGTGGGAGTGCTTGTTATGAAAGCATGGGGACCCACGTTTTGAATTATCATTTATGTCTTTAGATGTAGTAAGTAACTCATGCTTGCCATTTCTTAATCTCTTTTCCTATTGTGTAAAAACAATCACCATTGCTTGGCAGTGGTGGCGCACGCCTTTAAATCCCAGCGTTTGGGAGGCAGAGACAGGTGGATCTCTGTGTTTGAGTCCAGCCTGGTCTACAGAGTGAGTTCCAGGACAGCCAGGGCTACACAGAGAAACTTTGTCTCAAACAACAACAACAACAACAACAAACCCCAAAACAACAGCAAAATGAATCACCATTTTGAAATTTTAGGGGATGTTCATCTAATACATTTACCTTAGTCGGGTACTGTTTGCCTTCTGTGATAGATTTTGCTGAGCAAATGCATGCTGATGTCCAGCTTTTATGGATTTAATGGTTTATTATTAAGATTTTAATTTAGATTACCTTGTAGATTTTATATAAGCTTATTAGACATTACCAACAACTGGAAAGAGAAGTAAACATCCACACATGTCTTTTGTTAGGGACCCGTGGGCCTCAGGAGTGTGTGCTATAATTTATTCATGGAATAATTAATTTTTAAAATGTTTTATCCCCCTTTTTGGCAGGGTCTCTCTATATAGGTCTAGCTGTCTTGGAACTAGTCTTGTAGACTAGGCTGGCCTGGAACTCACCTCAACCTCCCCAGGGCTGGTGTTAGAGACATAGATATGCCACCATGCTCAACCTATAATTAGCTTCTCATGCATTTTTGATTTGCTGGGGTTATTGCAATGTCTAACCCTTACTTCAGTGTGTTTGATTTTACTGTACATTCCCTTTCTTCACTTTCAGGTGGCTATGGAGGCAGCGTATCAGGTTATATCTGGAAGGGACTGGCATAAACCCCATTCCTGTGGACCTTCATGAACAGCAGCTGAGTTTCAATCAGCACAGCAGAGCCTTTAACGTCAAAAGAGCTGATGACGGAAGTAGGTGGACTGGACATTAGCCTTGGGTGGGCACTATTTAACTTCTAGGTTTTTGAAGCAACAGTTTACATTTAATTTGCTTTTAGTGCCACTAGTAACTCTTAAAAAAGTACATTTTGCTGGCTTAAGTTTTTCTTGTTGTTATAATTAGAATCTGAGTAGAACATGTTTCCAGATGAATTGTCTCCAGGACAGGTTTGAAAAGTAGTTGATTAGGGATGGATTATTTAATGCCCGGCAGGACAGTTGACTCTTAGGGAAAGACCTTTGACAAGTCAGAAGGAAGCAGGAGAGACCAAATGAGCTGACCTGAGGGAGAGCTCGTAAGTATGTGTGTCTGTAGTTAAGTGTGTGATTCACTCTCTTACTCTGTTTATTGTCATGGTTGATTAAAACCTTTCTTGTTGGAAAATTTTGCATTCAGCTTTGAGATTTCTATTCAAAGCATTTTTAAGGAGAATCCTGGCAGATGGTAATTTGCAGCTGTTCTGTCTGAGGGTTAAAGTGAATATTCAGCTTCGCTCTAATTTATGGATTTTTATTGTGTCGTATTTTCTTATTGAAAACAATAAGAAAACAGTAACTCTAAAACTTACGTGGAACAAAAAAAAAAAAAAACCACAATAGAAATATCCATGGACTATTATAAAAAGATTCTTTTCTTCTCTTTGAAAATTTTCTGGGTAAACTTGGTATAGCGTCTTAACCCCCGCCCCCCCACCACTGCACCTCCTTTCTGCTGTGTCTTGGTGACAGATAGCTTTGTTATTTTAGCATGTTTCTAAGGTCTGATTTCATGTCACATTGGAAAGATTCCCTTTCCCTTAAAAAAATCATTTGCTTTCATAAATCTTTTGAGGAGTTATGTATACATGAATTCCTATTACTAGTTTTGAAAATCTCTATTCATTATTAAGTAAGATTTAATTATCATAGCTTAGAAATTTTATTTTATCCTTCACTAAAAGAAGCTTCTCCTGGGCTGGGAAGATGGCCCACTGGATGAAGTACTTATGTTCGAGTGTCAGGACTGGCGTCTGGATCCCCAGAGCCCGCGTGACAGCCCCTCGGATCCCGGCACTCAGAGGCAGAGGCAGGGTTGCTGGCACAAGCTTACAAGCGAGACTGTCTGTGATCCGCGAGCTCCAACTTCACTTGCCAGATCTCACCTCAGTCAGTAAAGTGGAGAGAGACCAAGGGAGCTCCTGCACTCAAACTTGGGGCCTCCACAGGCCTGGTCACGTGTGCGTGTTCACGTGTGCGCTTGCACCCGCACACACACCTTCTCACACACACTCGAGCTACATACACACTTGCAGGCACACCACACCATGGAAAGCACCACATCTTCAAAAGATGCCGAATCCCTTCTTTTCATCAGTAGTTCCGTCTTCTGAGAGATGTAGAAAGCCATACAGAGACCATCCCTAGAAATGAGTTGTTCACACTCCAGGAGTTGCAGCTCAGTATCCAGGATGAACATCTGATGACAGACAGTGCTGGGGAAGTGACAAAAAGTGGCTGAAGTAAAGTTATCTGTGGGAGCCCGTTCTCGGGTTCCTCGTGGCTTTACCCAGCAGGTCCGCATAGAGGATGATTGGACCACGGGCCTGAGTGCAGGTGTCTGAGATGGTCTGCACTTGGCTGTGCTGGGGGAGGTCTTTTGCTCCACCCCTTGGCATTTCTATAAATACCCTGGGGCAGAGACAGTCAGGGCCCTTTGGAATAGGTTCCAGGCCCTCTTGAGGCTATCCTGTATTTTCTATCCCTTTATCTCCACAATCTAAATTCTTCTGTCTGATATTTCTTGCTACTCTCACTCAAGAAAACTGTGGGGAACTGTGGGGTTGGTGGGTAAACACCCCGCAGTAATCCAAGAAAACGTCTCAAAATTTTAGGCAATCATGTGAATTGAAAGAACTCAGAAATCTTCAGTGTAAGTAGTGATAGTAAATCCCCAAACCCAACGTGTGTCAGAAGCATGGGAGTAGGACTTGCAGGAGGGTGGGATAGATCACTGATGGACAGATCCTGTGTGTGCAGGATCTGGAATCAGGATGGTTCCGGTTTGTCAGTAGCAGCATCAGACGCTGATGTCACTGTAACTCTACAGCTGTCACTGTTAGGATTGACAGCATGGTATTCGCTGTGTCAAGGGACTGTTTTAGAGGGTTTTGATTAGAGTTTATTTTATTTTATTTTTTTTGTTTTTTTTTTTTGTTTTTGTTTTTGTTTTTTTGGTTTTTCGAGACAGGGTTTCTCTGTGTAGCTTTGCGCCTTTCCTGGGACTCACTTGGTAGCCCAGGCTGGCCTTGAACTCACAGAGATCCGCCTGGCTCTGCCTCCCAAGTGCTGGGATTAAAGGCGTGCGCCACCACCGCCCGGCCAGAGTTTATTTTTAATAGATGTATTTCAGAGGAAATTGAGAGCCCTTTCAAGCTGTGTGCTGGATGTCTAACTTCAGTTCTCTGTGTGTCAGCTGGAAACACTGCTTAGAAAAGTCACACTTGGGTTTTTGAATACAGGAATAGGTTTGAGATTATACGGACATTTGATAATTTCGATTTTCAGTGTAGGACAAGACTTTACATCTTTGAACTCAAAAGAAATCATGCAGCTTTGAACCAATGACATTTTTGCCTTATGTAGTGTGACCCATCCTTGCCTAGGTTTCTTGATATATATATATATATATATATATATATATATATATATATATATATATATATATATATATATATATATATATATATTTTATTACCAGTGTCCCTTCAAAGGGGAAGGTGGGTTGATTTGTTTTTCCTTTTTAAATTTTAATTATATCAGTTAGATAGTCTGGTAATAAGGTGATATGAGAGAATTACACACCATAGCAGTCTCTGCCACTAGTTTTAACATTTGTCTGTGTCAATTAATGACTTTGTAATTGATTGTGTTGAATTGTTAATTCATTGTTAATTGATACTCAGTTCATATTTTTGTATCTAGATATACTATATATCTTTATATACAATGTATCTTTATATAAATACATAATATCTTTATATATAAGCAAATTATTAGTGGGTAGTTTTTAAGTGCTTAAAAGTTGGTAGTCATTTAGCATGAAAAATAAAAGCATATGATTAAAGAAATTTTAATTTACTTTACAAAAATTCAACTAGCACAGATATTTAAAAATGTGATATGAAGCTGAGTGTAGTAGCAGGTGTCTTTAATTCCAGTGTGTGGGAGACAGAGGCAGGTCGATCTCTCTGAGTTTGGGTTTGAGGCCAGTGTGGTCTGCAAAGTGAGTCCCAGGAGAGCCAGAACTATATAAAAGAGAGACCCTGTCCCCCTCCCCCACCCCCATAAGAACCTGAACAAATTCCAAAAACCACATGGTGTGAAGAGGAAGATAGACACAGGTAGAAGTTAAGTCCATATAAAGGAAAACTGCGTGATGACTGGAGTTCACATGTACTAATAATATCTGTTGAACATTTGTGGAGAATCCATGGGGATGAAGATGTAAACAATTGCATTAATAATTACTTAATTTAAGGAAAATAGTCTAAACAATAAATTTTTAGCATTATGTATCTGTCAATATGAGATTGTCTTGAAGCAAATTGGGATAATATCAAGTTAAACTGAATTATGGCCTCGAATGCAATAAAATTTAGTTAAACACAGAATCTTTGGAATATGGCCTTTGGCCAGGTGTGGTGGTGTGTCCCTGCATTCCTGCGATGCATGGGCATGTCAGGTTCTTTATGTTGAGCTGACAAAGCCAGCAAACAGCAGCTGCTCAGAGAACGTTTGGGACTGTAACAGGAACGCTGTATAGCTGAAAGAATAGTTCAGTCCCTTTAGGAGGTTAAAATCCAGAAGGAATGAGAAAAATACCATATTCGACATGTACGTAGACTTTTGTAATAAGCAGGTCAGAAGTCGGAGGTCATGTTGGTGACATTTGGCTCATCAGTGTATTCAGTGTCTAATGTGAGTTAGATCTCTATCCTATGCAACAAATTACTCCAATCTTTAGCATCATTATAAGCTCACAGGGTGCGAAGCTCAGAATCCAGAAACATCTTAACTGTGAGTTCTAGGTTAGGGTTCTTCAGGAGGTGGCAGTCAAGCTGTCAAGTTGAACCACAGTACTGGAAGGTGTGCCTGGAACTGGAGAATTCACTTGCTGGTTCTCATGTGATGGTTAGCAGAAGGCTTCATTTCCAGCCTTAACCTGGAGTGGTGACTGCAGGGCTGGCAGAGAGAAAGACAGAGAGACAGACAGACGAGACAGAAACAGAGACAGACAGGTATACATAGCAAGACAGAAGTACAGTGTCTTTTCTGACCTACTTTTTCTCAGTGATAGGTGCACTGTCAGATCATTTGTGTTGGCGTATGACCCACCCCTGGTTTGATGTCACGGAACAGGTGAAGGCTGGGAACTCTGCATGGCGGGGATAACCAGAGCCTGGAGGCTGCTGCCGTAGCTGGGATGCACTGGCTAAGTGTTGACTTAGGAGAAAGTGTAGAAGGAGGAGACAAGTACACTTTTCCCACACTGCTTCCCCGTGGGAGACGCTTGACTTCCAGTGCTGCTGATGACATGGGCATGGGGATGGCATTTCCAGCTGAAAATTGACCAACGGCAGAAAGGGGAAGGAATTCTTTAAAGTGACAAGGTCAAGTTTAATCCTCCGATACTACTGTACTGATGGAGAACACTTAGTTGAATGGTACAGATTAAACAAAAGATGTGGAAGGAAGATGTGCTAATGTCTTTCTGATATTTTCATTTCTAAAAACATTTTTGAGATTTTTCTCATTTAAAAAAAAGTGCTGTTTTCTTTCATTCTTTTTTTTAACTTGTTTTTTTTTTTAAAGATTGGAACATTTTTCCCTTCCCTTTTCTTTCCTCCAAACTCCCACTTATACCCCTCCTTGTTCTCTTTCAAATACATGGCCTCATTTTTCATTAATGGTTGTTACATGCGTGTATATATATATGCATATACACACATGTGCATTTCTAAACCTGACTGTATAATGTTACTAACGTGTGTTTTCAGGGCAAACCATTTGGTATTAGCCAACCAGTTGTTGTTCTCTTCCCTGGCGAAGACTATTTCTTGGCTCTCAGTGTTCCTTAGTTGCCTATTGTGGTGATATTGTGTCCCCCAATATATTGTGTACCCTCATAAACTTATCTGGGGTCAGAGAACAGAACAGCCACTAGAGAGACATAGAGGCCAGAAAATGGTGGCACACACATGTTTAATCCTAGCATTCTGGAGGCAGAGATCCATCCAGATCTCTGAGTTCAAAGCCACCCTGGAAACTGCCAGGCATGGTGACTCATGCCTTTAATCCCAGGAAGTGATGGCAGGAAGCAGAAAGGTATATAAGGCATGAGGTTCAGGAACTAAGTTTGTTAAGCTTTTAGCTTTTAGCAGCAGTTCAGCTGAGTTCCATTCGGATGAGGACACAGAGGCTTCCAGTTTGAGGAAACAAGATCAGCTGAGAAACTGGCGAGGTGAGGTTGGATGTGGTTTGTTCTTTTTCTTTGATCTTTCAGCGTTCACCCCATATCTGGCTCCGGAGTTTTTTTATTAACAAGACCCTTTAAGATTTGTGCTACAGCCTATAGTTCTTTGTGTAGGGTTGAGGCTGCGTGGGCTTTCCCTCGTCCACCCTGCATTGTCTGTTGTCACTGTCCCTGTGCGGCTCATGTTGGCACAGTCATGTGAGTGAGACTTTGTAGGTGCAGCTCTGACATTGCTAGATCTATCTGGGTTGGTTCCAGTATGAACCATGCAAGGAACTTGTGCCCTAAATCCAAAGTGGTGCTTTTCTATGAGTGTGGTCAGTTCCTCCTCTAGTTCTTTCCAGATAAAATTCTGTTAATATTGTAACACTTAAAACACGACTTCAAGGGTTACAGCTAGAGAGACAGAACTTTGATTTGTTGGTAGAGATTAGGTGACTTCAGGCCTTAACTTATGAACAGTTTAAGATGCTTTGGTGTTCGTTGTATTAAAGAATCCAATGCTTTTCAAACTCTGGAGTTTTCGGAGCTGTTTATTTTAGTAGTTCTGAACTTCAAGGAACTCTCTGATCTCTCATCTTCTCCTGCAGGCTCCGAGGCTTCTGGACCTCAGCTTTTGCCAGTGAGAGCACTGAATGAAGTCTTCATTGGGGAGAGTCTGTCATCCAGGTACCTTGACGATTGTGATTGGGAATGCGGAATTCAGTGTTCCAGTACTTCTTTTGATAGTTTCATCTAGTTTCTACAACCTGGCTTATAGAAGTAGTAATATAATAGTATATAGCATATATTGTAATACTATATAGTAGTATATAAGAGAAATTGTTATTTAATAAAATTATTTTCAAAGCCGTCACATATGCGGATACTAAGGAAGTAGACTATTCTGTGAGGAAAAAGTTTGTGAACCTCCACATTCACAGTTCCTCAGAGTCCTTACTGCACTACCGCTTATCCTGAAGGCTTAGGAGACTGAGGTACTCGGCATACATTTGCAGGTGATAACATTTTTTAAGTAGTCTGTATTAAAATTTCTCTTCTGAAAGTGAGTGTAGTAGCGCATTCCTATACTCCAGCTGCTTGGGAGGCCTCTGACAGTTGAAAGCTCAGGAGCTTGAGGCCCTGGCTTAGGCAGCATCGTGAAAAACCTATCCCTCCTCTTAGCTCTCTCCCACCCTCTATCTACCCTTCCCTCTCCCTCCCGCCTCACAGCGTAGTAAAAACCTCTCTCACACACAACACACATACACATATCCTCTCTCTCTCTGACATATACATATGTCTCACACACATCTCTCACACATTCTCACACACATACACATTCTGACACACATGTCTCTCTCACACATACACATTCTCACACACTCTTACACATACATTTCTCTCCCCTTCTGCCTCATACTCATAAACATACACAGATACACAAGTGGAGGAGAATGTCTCCAATTATTAGTGCCTTTAAAGCTGATTTGCTTATTTACTACTTTTTGTGCAGGATCCAGTTATGAATCACACTGCATTTTGCTGTTGTGCCTTTCTGCTTATAAAATTAATAATAACTCCTTCGTCTCACCTCAGTTTTGTCATTTGGGGTACTAATACTTTGGACCAGTCTGAGCCGATTGGTTGCAGGACACCCCTTATTTTATGTCTGCCCCTTGTTTGCTGTGTAAGCTTCAGATAAGGTGGTTTTGATCTTGCTACATAGTTGTTGTTCAGTGTTTAATGTAACCCAAACGCAAATGTGTCAGTTCAAGGTTAATGTCTTTATTAAGGGCTGGAGATGCATCTCAGTGGCAGAGTGCTTTCCCAGCATGTGTGAATCTCTAGGTTTCGCTCCCAGTAGTGCATGCACGCACACACACATACACACACAGATATCACCATTGTTAGCAAAAATTAGTTCAATGTAAACATATAGAATGTACTTTATTACTGATGAATGTGTTTTTCTGATACCTAACTTAAACAGCTTTGAAGTGCCAACCTTTTCTTCCAACCTTGAAAATACATGATTACTCACTGTGAAATGACCACCAGGGAAGAGTCAGTTTCCCTGTAGTGCACTGTTCCCCTTTCCCCAGTTTGTGAGTGTATAAATTAGGTGCAGAAGCGGGAGATGAGTTCAGGTCCTGCCTTTCTGCGATCACAACCACGTGACCCTTTCAGAGCTGCGTCGTTGAATCCCTAGTTGTAATGTATGGACCACTGCTGATTCTCCTTATTGCAAGTTATATCCTTTCATAAGGATATATGATGACCGATTCGTCATAACTCTCTTGTCATAAAAGTGACATCCACCTTCCAGCTAATACTGAATAAATAGCTTTATTATATCATGAATACAGTTTACATTAAAATAGTGACTAATGAGGCAGAATTATTTGAACAATTCTTTTGAATTACTGTATTTTGTTGTGTATAATATTTAATAAAAATATATTGTGTGCCTATTACATACCATGTGTAGGGATACAAAGATATGCATGAAAAAGGTGAAGTTGGTAAAAATGTAAGTTTTTAAAATTTTAGAATATTCTTTCAAGAAATAAAATACTTACAGGACATTTATAACTTAAGTGTAAAATGTATTTATTTTAACATAGTAAGACATATGAGATATGTGTCCAGAAAGTTTTATCTCATGCTGTGTGTCAAATTTCACACAATGTAGAGATGATAATAGGTTTTGATGTGTAGAAGAGGAGGAGAGGATGAGAAAGGCACCATAGGGCGTCCGTTAAGTCGAAAAGAGCTGTGAGTCTGTTTACTGTGGGAAGCTGTTTGTGCTTTACCTCACTCTGTTATAGGGAAGGCGTGGCTAGCCAAAGCGAGCTGCTCCCTTCACGGCTGCATACACTGTGTTTACTGAAGAGATGATGTAGAAGGGGATTTGGGAAATTGGGACCAGAGGGCAGAGGGGGAGTCAGTGAAGTCTCACAGGGTGATGTCTGCTGCTTTTTTGTTCTTGGATGTCTTTCCTTAGATGTTTAGTGAGATAAGTGAACAGTGGTTCAGTTTGAGGCTGTTGAACATGGTGTTACTATTCTGGAGGCTTTAGGGCTAATTTTTAAAGACTCTGTGACTGGGCCCACAGGCAAAAAGAGCATGAACACATTAAATGTCTGCTCTCTGCTGTTGATGAAGCTGTGTATATTGTATTGTTACTTCGTGCTCTCATAGCAGCCCCATGAGGAAGGAAGCTGTGGTTATCTGCAAGAGCAGTGAGGTCCAGAAGGTTAGGTAGTTGCATAGGTCATGTAATTATTTAGAAACAAAACTGTCCTTTGAGCCCATTATTCCTGGTCCCAGACTTGGGTTGAGGCTTTACTGTGCTCTGGAACCTTACATGCTTTGCTTGGAAAATGTGAAGCGCAGCAATGTTTTCCCTGCCTCACTTTCAATGTTCTTAGATTGAAGAACATTTTAAAAGCCCGTGTTTTTTCTTTTCTGTCTGTTCTGACCTAGAATGCCTTATTGTTGGGCTGTAGCAGTGGACAATTTAAGAAGAAGTATACCCAATCTAAAGGGACTGTGAGTTTTATTACTGCCTTAAAAATAATCTCCCCCAAACAAAAAATCCTGTGAATTAACTAATCCCAATAAACCTGCATGTAGATTGACACTAAATTTGCTCATCCTTTGGGCTCAGCATCTCTCACCTGGCTGTAATCATCTCCCACTCTCCTCTGATCCTCTCCACTCTCACTCTCTTTTTTCAGCTTTGTTCTAGCACAGTAGCAGACATTGCTGGGGATTTTGCTGACTTGTCTGTACATAGTAGGCTTCTAATGTGCTTTTTCGAGGAAGAAATAACTGACCCATGAAATAGACTAAAGGTGAATATTAGGACTGTTGTCTTTTATAAAGAACAGTAACGAAAGAAGTTATATCATGCAAAACTCATATTAGGAGCTTGGAGAAGCTGAAGGAATTAGAATGAGAAATAAATTGCTATAGTGTTAGTGTTTGCAAGTATGCTTAATAACTTATTCTGAAAATCCGTATTTTATTAAGAGTTTGACTTCTTAATTTGCTGAAGAAACAGTCTAATGTTTGCGAGTGACACCATTATTTTAAGGTAGAATTTACAGAGTAGGCTTTTACATACTTCAGAAGTTCTTCCTGTCATCCACTCAGTATTTAAAGACTAGTCTCATGTGTGCTGGTGTCAAAAAACTCCTTTCGTATTTGTGGAAAATTCTAAAACATACTAACTGTTCAAGAAATTATACCTCGATGTTATTCTTAGTTTTGTCTGCTGATATAGAATTGATTGAAGGTTTTCTTTACGCTTTTGACTGTTGTCCTACTACCATTTAAAATGGTATGCTAGCATATAGCTTAAGTAAGAGTTTAGCAGCAACTCTGGTTATTACAAAGAGTTAGGTGTAGATGGTGTTATGCCAGGAACTAGGTGCCAAGAATGACACCCATCTGGAGATGAAATTGTTTGAATTCCAAGAGGAAGCACCGTGTGTGCCAGGTTCCATAAGAGCAGAATTAGCACTGTTAGAAAATGTGCGAGCCCTCGTCTGAAATGCTACTGTATATAGGAAGGAGGTGACTAGATCAGATAGGCATGCAGATAAGTAAATGTTTTTTCCTTCTAATTTTTTCACTTAATCAATATTGGAATTAGCATGGTGATGTGTCTGCTAAGTCAGATATGTCTTGGTCAAGCTGATTTACTTAGATTTTTAGGAATTTTAAGACCAGTATTTTTTACTGGGACCCTAACACAGCTCAGCAAACACAGTTTTCTATTTTCAATTCATAGGGCTTCCTACTATGAAATTTCAGTTGATGATGGCCCCTGGGAAAAGCAGAAGAGTTCAGGGCTCAATCTGTGTACTGGAACAGGATCAAAGGCCTGGTGAGTAAGGTGGGAAGCCGCCTGTCAGGGTGTGTGAACTGTTTTAAGTTACAAAATGGATTTTCTCTTTTAAATGATGCCTCTGACTCCTCTGACCTGCAGGGGCAGCACACTGTTGTTGAACACATTCAAAGCTGACCTTACTAAGGTCTTCAGTTTTCTTTTCCTTCTGTGGTCCATGCACTGTTTACCTCTGTCACTGTTTACCCAGACTCCATTGCTAGAGGAAAAGCATTGCTTCCTACAATCTCACTTTTTCCTTCTTGCTCTCCTTTGCCCTTGCCTCCACATAGACTGGTCTCAAAATCCTTTGCTTTGTACTTCCCAACTCTTTGCCCACTTTGTCATCTTCCGCTGCTGCTGCTTTGGTCTGGGTCCCATCTTTTTAGGTAGATGTTCTTTGTGCCTGACCTCCTTTGCTCCTGGTTGTCATCTAAGCACTACCAACAGAGTGATCATTGTAAGTGCAGAGTGGTGCTTGAAAATACCCATAGAGAACGTCCATTTTCTGCTCTAACGCTTTGTCGGCACTGTGTACACAGTGCTTCGCCCCACACCATCACCCTGCAAATGTGGCCATGGCCGCCTTGCTCTCTTTATCCCGTGGTGCCCTCCCCTCCCCGAGAGCCCTCTGGAGACACAGACTGCTTGTCATTCCCAGCACACACCTTGCTCTCCTTTAGCCTTTTGTTCCTGGTCAATGCTGCTGCTTCCTGCTTGGAATTTCTGAGTCGCCTCCACTTCCCGTCCAGTGCTCAGATGCCGTTCTCTGAAGGCAGCGTCGTTCACCTCAGCTTCTTTCAAAAGCACAATGAATGGGTCCCCTTTGTCTGTCCCCAGCGCCTCTCCTGGTGCTGTCATAGCACCCGTGTATGACGAGTCCAGCGGGCCCATGGTACCCGGCTACTCTGGGCATTTTGAGGGGTTTGATGGGAGCTAGTGTTTTTGTTTCCCTCCTGTTGGATTTTTGTGTGTAGCAGGGTATAGTGCCTAGTACATACTTATTCAGATCTTTCTTAAGTAAGTGAATGCATGCTCTCAAAACTAGCACAGTGTTTGTGAAGCTGTGATTTGATCTGTATGTGGTGGCCTAAAATCCAGCACTTGAGAGGCTGAGGCAAGAGGATGGTGGTTTGAAGCGCTTGGAGGCTACATAGTGAGACTCCGTCTTACAAAAACATTTAAAGTCTCCCTCATCAAATGTCACTTTTAAGTTGGGCTTGTGAATGTAGAGTTTGTTTGCTACTTTTTCAGCATGGCTTTTAAAACTTTCTATTACAGAACATTTTAATTTATGTAAACAGAGACAAAGAGAGTCTAGTGTTCAGTGGTGAATCCATGTCCCATACTGTTTTCTGTGTACATTGATCTTAACTATCTCTTCCATACTATTCTGAAGTAGATTTCAAAAATCATTTCATTTCCTTCATGAGCAGGACTAGTACATCTTAAAAAAAAAATGTTAGTCCCAGCTAAATAACATTTCATTGTTTTAAGGAATAGCAGGAGGACCATTTCTAAAATAGATTTTCAGATCATTTTAAAGATTAATCACTTGGGGCTTGCAGCTTAGCTCAGTGGATAAAGGCACTTGCCACCAAGCACACCACACCCGAGTTCGGTCCCCAGGGCTTCCATGGTAGAAGAAGATAACTAACTCCTCAAGGTTGTTCTGTGACTTCCATGTGGGTGGCAATATGTGTGTACTTCCTGTCCCCCATCCCACTTCCTTCCCCCAACCTAATCAATAATTGTAAGAAAATATATCCTCTGATAGGCTACAAAATTAGTTTTAACCATCTCGTAAGTTAAATTGGGGGCACAACAGTGAGCAGCTTTTGGTGATCACGGAAACCTTTCTTCTACTGAAAAGGGTGAGCATATCGGTTGAAAACAAAAGTGAGAATTGGGAATTGTTCCTCGGAGTCTTTCCCATTTCTTCCACAACATGCTCTGTAAGAACGTGCATGGTGTCACCATTCGGGTACAGGCTCGGGAGTTAGAACTCGATAAACCAGTTAGTAGCTTTGCCATGTGAAGGGAAAGATTAGGATACTATTTCTTGATCTTGTCTTACTGCTTTTGATAGAGAAAAAAAGTTTATCTGACCTCAGTTTTTGTTTTGAGTATTAAATGTGTGACTCATTAGCAGCTATAACAGGAAAACCAACCCCAATCTTAGTGGCTTAATACATTAAAAAGCTTATTTCTTGTGCTCATAAAGTCCAGTGTGGGCATTCCCAATTGACAGGTGGCTCTCCTTTAGTGGCAGGGGGTGGGGATGGCAGGGCAGCTCCTGCCATTCTGTGGCTCTGCTATGTTCTGACGTGGTGACTAAGGTCACTGCACTGAGCTGTAGAGAAGGAAGACCGTGGACTGCTCCCATGGGAGGCTGGTCAGCAGGCATGGGGGTGTCATTCACTTGGATTTCCTTAGCTAGCACTTAGTAACACGGTTCCATAGTGAGGGGCTAAAAGGTGGGAATCTAACCATGTGTGTGGCAGGAAGTGTTTGAAGAAAGCTCATTTTTGCATAACCGGACATGTGCCCCCAGGAGTAGGACATTGGGATTGTAGTGTCAGCAAGTCAGTTGTCCTTCTCGTCAGTCCTGGTTAATGTGATACATGCTTGTACCCCATGTACTGGCAGCAGTTAGCTTTTTAAGATAGCTTCTAGTCTGTAACACAAATCTTAAAAGGTCTTATTAATGAAAACAAACCTGGAGTCAGATATTGGGGTGAATGCTGAAAGACCAGAGAGACAGAACAGGCCACAGCTAACCTCACCTTGCCAACTTCTCAGCCGATCCTGTTTCCTCAGACTGAAAGCCTCTGAGTCCTCACCCGAATGGATCTCAGCTGAACTGCTGCTAAAAGCTAACCAGGCTCTAGTTCCTGATCCTCATGCCTTATATACCTTTCTGCTTCCTACCATCACTTCCTGGGATTAAAGGTGTGAGTCACCATGCCTGGGCTGTTTCCAGTGTGGCTTTGAACTCTCTGCCTTTGGAATGCTAGGATTAAAGGCATGTGTGCCACCATTTTCTGGCCTCTATATCTAGTGGCTGTTCTGTTCTCTGACCCCAGATAAGTTTATTAGGTTGTACAATATATGGGGAACACAATATCACCACACCAGTCTGCATTATATGTGGAAATGTGTGGAGATAAATGACTTCTTATCAATAGTAGGATTCTTTGTAGAATTGAGTAATAGGTTAATTTCAAATCTTTGAGTGTGTAATTGCTTTCCAGTTGGAAGTCTGTATGTCAACCCAGGTATAAGGATACTCTCCCCTCATACTCATGCCAGTAAATTTTTTTTAAACCACTAATTTGTAGTTGTCTTAATTTTAAGAAGTCTTTATATGGTAAATACATTGTGCATTTTTTCATTTTTAGTGTGCTTTTAGTACTGAAACAAGAATTATGTGCTTGCTTTTTTTCTAGGTCATTCAATATCAACAGGGTTGCAGCTCAGGCTGTTGAAGATGTTTTAAATATTGGTGAGTACTAAAACAGCTATTCTGTATTATAGAATTATTGTGTACTATGTAATGTGCATGCTATGTGTTGGCTTTTGTGTGATGTACAATAGTAACTGAAGCTGTTTCCACCTTTCCTCTGTCAATAGCAAGACGACAAGGAAATCTGACTCTTCCGTTGAACAAAGACTTGGTAGAAAAAGGTTAGTACCATATGGTCAGCTTTGAGAAAGAACAGTATTATGTGCATGCACTTAATTAGATGTTACACACTGTCTCATTAAACGTAGCTAAAACAAGGTAACTCAAAGCAGGGCTTCCAAGAAAAGTTTTTTAAATTACAATTTTATTTACTTACTTACTTTGTGTGTATGTGTGCATGGTGCTTGTGGAGGTCAGAGCATAACTTACAGGAGTTGGTTCTTTTCACCAAGTGAGTTCTAGGGATTTGAACTCAAGTCAGTAGGTTTGATGGCAGGCGTCTTTACCTGTGGACCGTCTTGCCTGCCCTAAAGCTGGAGTTTTATACTGTCACTTGTGTTCCCCATGAAATACAGCCATATATCAAGACACTACAATTGTAAATACAGCCTGGGTGATAGATTTGTGTGCTGTAAGTGAGGAAATGCATATCTAAATTCATGCTGTCCCAGTAGGCTTTTCCGTAGTCATGGTCCTGCTTTTCATGGTGTAAGCACTATCAAACGGATTCTTCCCGTTTTCAGTTTGAGACTTAAAAGATTTTAGTCATGGCTTGGCAGTTAGTATTAGCACTAAATTGGTATCAGTGGAAGGGAAATTGGCACCCGCAATTTCTAGGTACAGAATTTAGTGTAGACATCATGAGATCTAAGTAAAGATACATGGTGTTGGATGTTGTTAGTGCCCTGGGTTGATTACTCCTCAGTGTATACATGAGTCAGAGAATCACCTTGTTTGTGCCTTATGTACAGATATGTACTAACGTTACGTCAAATGCAAACCTAAACACAGTAAACATAATACAGCTGAAATTTGTGTAATTCCTATCAAAGTTGCACGCAGAATACAAGGACAGACATTAAGGAATGTGTAAAGGCTTTACTGAGTGAACACTTCTTTGAAGATTGAGCTATCTACAGAAACTGGACGGTCAGTGGACGTCACTGTCACAGACATTCCTACAACCACTCTTTCTTTCATAGCTAGCACAGTTTCTAGTTTACTTTTTGTGATAAGTTGGATTATTTTTTTTCTTACAGAACCAAATACAGTTTTTCAGCCTTAATAAGGATTTTAAAAAATGATACTTTTAATAGTGCCCAGACTGTGGTATAACTCCTGGGGCCCTGACGTGGCAGTGGGCTGTAGCGCCTAGAAGGTTAACAGCACGTATAGCCCCTCTGGTGTTCTGTGCTGCGGTGATGTTCAGTAGGCTGTGGTCACTAAGTACCTTTTCAACTTGAAGTATTTTCAAGTTATGATGGGTTTATTGAGATATAACATTGCAAGTTAAGGAACATACGCATGCATATAAAATTCTAACCATAGTTGCACAAACAAGATGCATTGTTCGACAGTCTGGTTTTTCGGTGTGATACTCAGCTGAACTTTCACTTCTAACTTCTTGTATAGTTGTCCTCTTCTTTTTTTTTTTCTTTGAAGAGATAACAATCTGGGTGCACAGGCTGGCCTCAAATTTCTCCTGGGCTTAAGCCATCCTCCTGCCTCCCAAGTAGCTGGAACCGCAGACATAGGCTGCCACGCCTGCTTGTACAGTTGTCTTCAACTAACTTAGGTTTTGCTGGCCAAGCCTCAGGTGCTTCTTTGTTAGAGAGAAAATGGGTCCTAAAAGTTTCTTCTTCAAGTATCTTAAGATGTGCAGCCTCACAAAGATTCACCGCCTTCCATTGGTTGAGACTGCACTTTCCTCTTCTTCTTGATTCTGATGGGATACTTGAGGGAACTTGACAACTCATGTTCCAGTCCTGAGTTTGTGCCACTGCTTAATTCCTAGCTTTGATTTGTTTCTTTTTTTTCTCCCCAGTTGGACCTCTTCTCCGTTGTGAGTGATGAGTGCTTTTACGGGTTAATAATTGAACCTAATCAATTTCTAAGGCTTGATTTCTAAGGCTTTTTATGGTAGAGTACGGAATACGAGTTCCCAAGTGATGTGCTCTGAAGTAGCCTTTGAACACACGCTTCCAATTGGGAGCAATGTGTCTGTCATGTGCTTCTCAGACGTGGCCATCCTTTATTAAATGTGCTCTTTTCCCCTTACAGTAACGAATGAATATAACGAATCATTGCTCTACAGTCCCGAAGAACCAAGAATACTTTTCAGTATTCGAGAGCCGATAGCAAACAGAGTTTTCTCAAGCAGCCGCCAGCGATGTTTCTCCTCAAAGTAAGCATCCTCAGTCAGCTCGTTCATCCCAAAGAAACATGAGAAAAGGAAAAGCAAAACAGAAAACCCCACAGAAACAAACAAAGTAAATCCTCCTTTTCTTTTGGAGACACTGAGACCAATGTCCTTTTTCTCCCCCTAGGAATGCCGCTTAGAAGGAAACATTTTAGCCTTTGTTTTATTCAGTTGACATTTAATTTCTATTTACAAATCTAAACTCACTTGTGTGTATTTCTTATATTTGAATGTTAACTAATTAGGCTTCATGACATAGGGGATTGGAAAAGCTATATAAACATACCATGAAATGCACCTTCTGCAACAAAAGGTTGGTAAATTGTTCGACACCAGGATTAGGAACTTCAAAGAATATTCCATTAAGGAAACAAAACAGCAAGGTACAGAGAACGATATTTGCAAAGGATATCTGGTCTATCTCGAGGTATTTGAGAATGGTGTCTGAAATCACTGCTCCAGTAGCCAACTAGGCTATGAAATGAAATTCTGAGTTTTACTTCACGGGGTCATAACTGAAATGCTAATGCATTGGAAAGTGTATTAAGTTACTTGAGAATGTGTGTACAGTAAAGGTATAGTGTGCATGAAATGTGAATTTTGTTTAGACTTGGGTTTCATCCCTAGTTACCTCATATATATATATACATATATGTAAATATTAAAAATTTGAAAAATCTTATTTAAAAGATTTCTGTTTCTAAGCATTTTCGTTAAGGGATACTCAGTCTAAATATAAAATTTCTAGCAAATCAGTAAAAGGCAGCCAGTGCATTTAACAAATAAAAAGCCAAAGATGTGTGGTCTTTCCCAAAGGCATATTTAATAAACATCTAAAAAGAAATGCTTGACCTTATTCATTTGGGGAATGAAAACACCCCAAACTAGCATGGCTGAAATGAAGTTCAAGAATGGACAGTTCACTGCAGTGATAAGACAGTAGACAGAGAGTATACTTGAGATGGAGCAGGCAGACATAGTATCTGGGAGAAGGTAATTGATGCTGTATTCATGAACTGTACATTCGTGAGTTACCTCTTCTCTGATTACATAATCTGTAAGTAAAATTTTACATGAGAATGCGCTCTTGCTCAGTACTTAAAATCCTTGTAATGGAAATAACTCGGGAGTTACATGAAAGTGACCTGGCTACTACACTGAGCCTATTTTTTTGTTTTTCCTTGAATTTTAAACTTGAGATGTTGATAATGCACCCATACTGTTTACAGTCACTGCTTCTCACATCAGAGAGCAACTAAATTCTTAAAATCAAGGCCAAATAAGCTGTTGGTTGTGTCAACAAAAGTCAGAGTTTACTTAGTGTTAAGTCCACTTGATATTTAATGCGACATCTCTTTCCGCTTAGAGTTTGTGTCCGTTCTCGATGTTGGGATGCCTGCATGGTTGTGGATGGAGGAACTTCTTTTGAGTTTAACGATGGAGCCATTGCTTCGATGATGATCAATAAAGAAGATGAGCTTCGAACTGTGATTCTAGAACAGTAAAGGATTTCCTCAGAAGACAGATTTGATTACTAGAAACATATTTTTTTTTCTGCAGATACAGATGACCAGCCATAAACCTCCCTTATTTTGGTTTGTACCAAGACTGGAGTCAAAGGTGGAGACTAAAGTGGGATCCATGTGCTGTTCTGTTCCATTTTGATAGTCAAAAACTGTTCACCATATGAGAAATGATGGACTAAATGGATTAGAATTATGTTGGTGAAGCTTCTATATTACTTACAGTTGGTAACCAAGAGTATTGATATTCTTTATAGAGAGGAAGGTTAAATAAAAGTTAAGTATTTAGGATTTCAAATTTAACTGTACAAGCATTTTGGTTTTTTTTTTTTTTTTCCTAACTTTGTGGAATTGGCTGTGTGTCATTTGATTAGTGTATTATTTTTATAGCACCTAAAAGTAAAGATTTTTAAAAATTTTGATGATGGAGAATTTTGATAAATCATGATGTTGACCTAACTGCAGTTGGTAAATGTGTTTTTGTAAATGTTAAGAATTTTCTAATTCTAGGAAATAATGATGAAATCACTATCGATTGAAAAAATTGAATCCTTTTAAAAATTATTTGTAGATGAATTCTGACTTCTTTGGGTTAATGTCGCCAATGCTAGATGAAATACATCTGTTGGGACAAATCATAATGTCCTTGTAAATGTATTAATTTTCCCATAGCAATTGTTGGTCAGACTTTTTTTTGAAAAATAAAGAGTCCAGTAGTCCCTTTCCTATTTTTGAATCTCTAGTCTGAACTCAAGGATTATAAGGAGTTTGGTGAAATGCTCAAACCTTCCTTTAGTTTTGGAGAATTGGACTCTTTAGTAAACACATGAGACGTAGTTCGGGAATTGCCTGACTTTAGTGTTGTGGTTTTCATTCATGTATTCTGAATTTTAAATAGTAGCTTTGGAGGACAGAACCTCAGAGCTCTCCACTCCCTGTATGAAAACCACTGTAGTTTGGAAGGAAAGTGTTGTCATTTAATTCTTGATCTCCTTAAAAGAAACTAGTTTCCACAAGAAGCTGCCATTGCTAAATGAAATGGTGTTCTCATGCCACTTACTCAGAGTTGTAGACTTGTCACTTGTTGGTGAAATTGGCTTTTCATTGACAGTATTTATTAAAGTCTCATTCTGTGCCATCTATCACCACATGTCATATAGTGAAGTGTTGGAATGACACTGGAATAGACTGTTAATGGAACTGGGGCCTAGTGAGCTCAAGCTGAAAGCTAGGATGCAGTATCAGATCAGATGCTTTTAGCTTGCCAAACTCAACATGTTGCTCTTAATTAAAAAAATTAATGTCAATGTGCAAGGCGATCTAGGTCTGTCTAGGTTTTGTTGTTTATCCAGAATGTGTTCCCTAAGAGTATCTGCAGGAGGAAATGTGTTAGTGTTTTTGCTGAGCCAAGTCTAATGTCTAGTATAATTTTTAAAAAAGACGATATATTTAAGATACCACTTTATATGGAAGTTAAATTCCATACTATAGAAATTCCCCTAAAAGGTTTTAAAGTACTTTGTTAGGAAAAAAATGCCACTCCTGTCCTTACTATATCCAGGAAATCTGGTTGTCCATGATTCACCACAGATCTATTAATATGTCCCATTAACTGGTAACTAGCTGTGTGGAACTGTTCATAAGCAACACTTGGAAAGATACTAAAATTATTGACTGCTCCATTTGCAATCTAATTTCTGCTCTGTGGCAGGAGGGGATTTATTTGTAATAGATGAATGGCAAAGGATGTTGGCGTGTCAAATGTCTTTTTGAATGGGTTAATCTTTAATGACCACTGTATGCAAATAAAATTAAACCATTGTCCGTTTTTTTTTACTTTGTTTCTTATTTCCTAAATTCTTAGGAGATCACTATATAAGAATCAAATTTCCCCTGAATATTGCGTTTCAAGTCTATCCCCACACCCATATCCTCTGTGCACTGTGCACTTGGCTCATTGGCATTACTTGGCAGAATGATAATCTGTTTATTCAGAGGGCAAAATGCTTAATTCAAAAATGTATTTTTCATATAATTTAGTTTAATATTTTTGATGTTCCATAATTTTTATATTCTTGAATGGATAGCTTTCACGTACAAAATCATTTTTATGTAAGTAAAATAACACAAATAAGTATAAAGTAGTCACTTGAGCTGAAAGTGTCAAGTAAAACGTTAAGAATACAGGGGCTGGGGAGATGGCTCAGCACCTAAGAACACTTGCTGCACAAATAGGAAGACCTGAGTTCAGATCCCCAGCAGCCCACACTGAGGATGGCAGCTGGGGAGGCAGGTGTTGTGGCAGAGAAATAATTGCCAGAGCTTGCAGGCTGCTGCTAGTCTAGGTCCAGGTTTGGTGAGATTGTTTCACAAGAATAAGGTAAAGAATGATAGAACGGCCACCTGAAGTCCTCCTGTGGCACCCACACACGTGCGCGGGCACAGATTTGCTCACACACACGAACAGAATGATAAAAAGTATTTAAGGACACCACTGCTGAGCTATGAAACTAGTATAAATTTAGAATTTAAATCACTAGGAGCTCTTTCCACTGTGTATATGTTATCTCTATCCATATGCTCAAGGATACTAAAAAGTATCCCAGGGATAACTAATATGTGAAATAATAATGGTGGGTGAGGGGTAAAAGTAAATACATTGCTGAACTGTAACCCCAGTCCTCTGGAGGTGTGGGTAAGAGTGTGAAAAGTTTTGCTTGGGCTATATAGTAATATAGTATATAGTCTCAAATAATGAACCCTCTGAAATAATATTTCAATTATGTTTTCAAATGCTTATACTTATGAGGTATTAGAGGGCATAAGTCAGTGACAAGGCTATTTTGTAATTAAGGAAGGCGTACTTCAAGGTATTCTAAAGAAAATCACGGATTAGATAAGGAGCTGAAGATAAAGCATGGGCTGTTCTTGAAGAGGACCCAAGTTTGGTTCCCAGGACCCAAGTTTGGTTCCCAGCACCCGTGTCAGGCAGTTCACAAGAGCCTGTAACTCCAGGTCCATGGTGTTTTCTGGCCCCCAAAGACACCTGTAAACATGTGCACATGTACACACACACAAATACATACAGTAAAATTTAAAATGGTTCTCACTGAACATGGAGCCTGATGCCCAACACCATTTCAAATCTTACCAGTGTCTCCTATTGTGCAGACCTTTTGGGTGTTTGATCTATCTCCAGCTTATGAAAATGGGCACCTTAACTGAAGCAATTTTTAAAAGGATGACATCACTAAATCCCAGACTGTGGAATTCAGAACACATGATCTGTCTTCAGTAGATAAATTTCCAGGGATGAAAGAAAACCTAATGCTTAACTTTTTAAAGAATCACTGAATGCAACATGTGGACCATGTTAGGAGACTGATCAAAACAAACTGGGAATGGGGGCACAAGCCTGTAATCCCAGCATTTAGCAGGCAAAGACTGAGGAGGGTCATGAGTTCAAGGTCAGCTGGAGCTAAGAGCTGTCTTGAGGCTAGCATGAGATACATGAGCTTTTGTGTCCAAACCAAACAGTTGAAAACACAGGAAACTTGGTCGACAGCTCTTCAAAACCCTATCCCTTCATTCCGTGCTTATAGTTAATGCCGAATCTCTATCTTTTATATATACTGAAGTGTTTATAAAATTATAGTCTTGAGTTTGCTTCAAAATTACCTTCATATGAGGGAATGGTTGAGATCACATTAATGAGGCCGGCCAGGAGTTAGACTGTTGAAACTGGATGTTGAGGCTCTATGTATATACTTTATACTGTCCATCATTTAAAAACAAAATTAGAACCATAATGGTACTATAATTAAAAAAAAATCAGCAAACCTGGGTGATTTAGAACCACCAGCCTGGCATTCAAATGGAAAGGTTCAACCCGGTATAAGTTATTCACACTGTCTTTAAACCATGGAAATAGTCAGTGTAAGCCGATCCAGTCTGGACTTAGTGTTATGTGTCATCAGCCACATCAAATATTTTATAAATGTCATTATTCTTGAGCACATTAAAGTTAACAAGCCTGTATTTAACACTTTTCAGAATGCATTATGAACGCATTTTGACAACAAGCACATAAAGCAAATAGGCAGATGGGGGTTGAGGCTGAACTCTTACTTTATCTGACCCAAATGGCAACCCAAAACGGATGCGTTCTAAATTTAAAGACCGCAGAAAAAAGGGATACAAATTAGCTCAAGTACTCGTTTTTATAAAAATGTATTTTATTTTAAAAAGAGTCTATAAAAGTAGAAATCACATACAAAAATACAGATTACTGCGACATGTTGGCAAAATAGCTCCCAGCTGGACTTGAGTAAGGAAGAACAGGAACTGTATGTCTGGGGCAGCTGGAGGCCAGAGTCCAACCAGAGCCCACCGTCAGCCCATCACTAATCTGTAAACAATAGTTTCAAGTCGTAGTTAGCACTTTAACTACTCGGGAACTGTAGCATGATCATTCTGGTGTTACACTTTTTAAACTGCTCTTTAGGTCTGAGCAGCTAGATAAAGGCACTTCATATTATTGTTGTAACAGTAAATTTTTTTGATGAAAAAGTTAATAGAAATGTATTGTGGCTCTGTCATAGTCAAAAGAGGTAACTGCATTGATTTTTTTTCATTTTCTAAGAAACACAATTTGATCTTTTTGCTTCTGTCTATCAGATGTTAAAAAATGCATCTGTTATCAGAAGGTTTAATGCCCAGTGAGTCTTAAAAACTTAGGTGACGTGCACGTGGTGCCGGCCGCTCGGAAACTGTCCACGCACCTGCTTCTCGTGCATTTCTGATGGAGAGAAACCAGCGGTTCTACCTAAGGAACTTTAGATCCAGGAACCTAATGGGCAGTTTCAAGCCATTGTTGTGAAAGACCACTTAAAAGGGTTTCAAGTCCTTGATTGCAGAGTAATATAAAAATAACTGCACCGCTAAAGGAAGAAACAGCAAACAAGATCAGCTCAGAATTCTATCCGACTTCTCAAGAATGCTGATTAGAATAATACCATACTTCTAAAAACAAAGCAAGTAATTTAAAAAGCTAAACAACCCACATAACATACATTGATTATAAAGTTAAAAAAGCACAATTAGATTTCCTCACCTAATTTAGGATTCTGGGAACATAGCATATAGTACCTAAAACCATTAAAGACTACTTCATATTCACCTGACTTTGGGAAACGGCCCTATGAGGCTTCAAATCCAATTCCGTCCTTCGGGTTGTGTCTCTGTTTCTCATTTAGAGTTCAAGGTACACTATGCAGGGCTATGTTTCTATTACACTAACTTCACACCTGCACCAAAGCTGAAATGTGTTAATTCCCAGAAGATTGCCTCAAACGCTACCAGCCCGTGAGTCTTTCCATTTAGCTCACCACACACAGCTTATTGTTCTTCAAAATCAAGTTTTATAAAATACTGAATAATTAAATAGATAAAAAGTTATGACAAACACCATGGAAACTGTTAGCCAGGGGTAATTTTAAAAATGTGATTCTAAATAGACTTAATCTGAAGGGCACTTGGAAGAGTTGGCTCAAATTTTGCTTTTAAAAAGCTATTTTGAAATAACAGGTTCACCTAAAATTTCCAAAGATGTAATAACGCATGGCCTCTGAGGGCACAGCACTGACGGAATTGTCTCTGTATTCTTGAAAAAGCAACACTTTATAGTTCTCCCTTGCAAATGGCTCCCTAACATACACGCATAATGAAGGCTAAGGTAAAACCAATAGGAAAGGTAACCAAGGTCTCCAGCAAGTGGATTTGCTGCCTGTGTTCCTCATTCCAGAGGAGGAGGAGACACCACCCTGCAGCAAGCACTTCATACACAACTGGGCTTTTGCAGAGTCAGTCGGCACTTGATACCCCAAATCTCCGGGTGCTTTTTGTTGTCCATAGTTGGCCTTGCAATGGTGGTGAAATAGGCACAATTAATCTGCAGATGAGGAAGGGCTTCTCTCAACAGCTGAAGGGTGCCATCCGGCACGATTCCAAAGACCTGCAGTGTTTTTAGTGTGGGAATTTCTCCGAGTTCACTAGAAAAGGAAGAGAACATGTCAGGATGTATGGCAATTATTAGACTAGTTATTATAACCCATTGTTTATAATTTGTATCAGTCTACAAAAATGCAGCCTAAAAACATTATAACAAATGATTTAAGGAAGTAACACAGGGAGATAAAAGCTGGGAAACACAGCAACCTAACCCATGTGGGTATAGGAAACAAGCCTGTGTGTCTTATTCCATGTGGCTCCTGTGGAACTATGAAGTTCATTACTATTTTTAATCGGACTGGATTTGCCTCCTTTCTCCATTCTTGATCTATACAGACCTCTGGAAGGGTTACTGTGATCTGAGCTAGTGAGCTAGTAAATGAGGAATGGTAAAAGTAAATGTTTCACTGTGGTGTCAACTGGAACCACCCCAAGATCCATACAATGTAGGAATCTGGCCATGACCTTTATTTGAACTAGGCTCTCTCAACAGAAGATACCAGCAGCATTGATGGCTTCTTAGTAATGATGCAGCATTAACAAAACCTTACTGCAGCAGAACCCACCAGTGACTCCCTCAAGGTATTTTTCACATGGGACTATATAGGCCACAGATGAAAAAAATGGGGTACCAATTTACAGCAGACAAGGACCTCTTCTCTCTATATTAATCTTACTGATGGGGCAGACCTTTTTGTATGTCTTTCATGTTAGGTGACAGACAGTTGTGTTAACAGTGAGATCTGGGGTCACACAAAATTGACCCTGTTTATCCAAAGAAAACATTGTGTGGTTTTGGTACTGATTCTTCTTAACATTGGTTTGTA